TGTATATCTAGAAATCTTAACTAACTTAACTATAATATCTGACTATCATAGGTACTATCTATAGTCTGTATTGAATTATACATTACATTTATAAATGAGCTATATAAACACAATACCTAAACAAAAGGAGAAATATACACATCATAAGATTGACCTTAAATTGTATCAATAAATGAAAATCCATTCCAAAACAAAGTATTCATATCTATACCATAATCCCCTTTTTAATCTTTAAAAAGATTTGGCTGTGATCATTAGCCATTTATAACCAACCCCATTTAAATGAAAACAAACATTTATAAACACTATTTGGGAATTTGGGTGTTGTTCTTTCCAAACTACTTTCTGCAGGTAGGGGGCGCTGTTATGGGGGATCCTAAGAAGACACAGAAATCCTGGCTGTAGTCTGCAAGGCTGCTTTGTTCAGCTGTTTTGAATGTAGGATCACCTGGTCCTTTGTTTCAGGGGGTCTGGCTTGATCAAAGCACATTAGTCTGGAATTCACAGCTTTTTATTTTCTGTGGAAACAAAAATAGAAATCCTCTTCCCCAGTAACTTATTCTTACTTAATTTTGGAGTCAGACTTAAATTTTGGAGTCAAAGCATTTTTAAAATATATAAATTGAATTAATCCAGCAACATTTCCTTTAACAGTTGTTTCCTCGGCAGTCAAACAATACAAAGACAATATAATACCTTACAGTATCCAGATTCTCTCCATATGTGGCTTTTTTATTATTTTGTTTCTTTTCCATTTTTTGAGACAGGGTTTCTCTGTGTGTCTCTTATCTGTCCTGGAATTTACTATTCATACCAGGTTTACTTTGAAATCACAAGATCTCCTTGCCTCTGTCTCTCAAGTGCTGGGATTAAAGGCGTGTTCTCTGTCTTTTTAAAATGGCGGTTCTGCTTTCTCCAGACTCTCCATCTTGACTCTTCCTTACTACTTCCTCTTTCCTTCTCGTCTCCTAGTCCCTCCTATCTCCTTTCCTATTGGCCAACAGTGCTTTATTCACTAACCAGTATGAGAAACATATATACATAATAACATCACCCATCACTTCTCCATCATTTGACACCTGGTCTTTCAGACCAAACCTTTCATCCCAAGCCAAGAACAGAGGTCATGGATGTGAGCCATCACTCAGCTTCCTTCATTTTTTTTTTTACTAATAAAAAGATACATTCCCATGTGTGGCATTTGCTTATAATAACATGTGAGTAGATGTATGGGCCATGTATAAATCCATTTTGATGTATATGAAGGTGTCAGAAATAGAATATTTAAATTCTATACATAGATAATATTACATTTGTAGTTTCTAACTGGTATGTTATCATGAAAGTAAATACAATCAAGATATATGGATCTATAGGATCCATATTAACCAAAGGATGGATTGGAGCAAAATTATATGTTATTACATGTAAATCTGTTAGTATGTTTGGACAGCCATACCAACATGCTGTTCTGGATAGATTAAACAATAGGCACTTACTTTATCTGACTTCTACATCTCAAAAAGGATGCCCTATTAAAGTCAGAATTATCAGAAAAGGAATTATCAAGAAGGAACATCAGTAAAAATAAAGACCAGGAAAAAGAGTAACACATGAATAAATGTACTAGATTTTCCTTTTGCCATTTCTGAAGCATCTTTAATAGTTGAAGATAAAGTTAAAATAATGACGATTATTATTCTAAGTGTAGAGGCAGTATTTAAGATAATAAATTTAGACAAGATTGGGGGACATAAAAAAAGTAAGATCTCTATATTTGACTCAACTTGGTTAATGTCAGCACCAGTAGATGGTGGTACATTATTTACAAATTATATAATGCTTAGAGACAAAAGGTATGTAAATACACAATGTAAATAAACTACTAAAGATAATCCCACTAAAACAAACTAATAAAGATAAATGTGTTGTTACAATGTTTATATAACTCAAAGGAAGATGGGGAAAAGAAGATAGATAAGTTAATACCAAAACAAAGAGAAAACAAAGAATTTACTGAAATCTTAATTTATCAGTAATTACATTAAATGTAAATATATTATCAAAAGGCAGAGATTCACAGGCTGGACTAAAAAATAAATAAAAAAATCATGACCCAAAAGTATGCTATGCATCAGAAATTCAATTTATTTATCTATTTTTTATTTTTTTGTCTTTACATCAGGACTGAAATTTCTCCTCCCTCCTCTCCTCTTTCCTACTAACCCCTCCCCACCACCTCTCCTCCTCCAAAACAAACAAATAACAAACAAAAAACAAAAAATAAACTACCACCAAAGCACTTAAAATGTATTTCCTTTATGTCCATATTTGATTCTCTGAGTATGTATACACTTTTTATTTAATAAATGTAAGCTTTGTTTAAAATAAAAAAAGAAACTCACTTTCTTTTTTTTCCAAGAGTTTGATAGCCAGCCAGCCTACCGAATAGAGCAACTTTAGAGGTCAGTGAGAAAGCCGTATCTCAAGTCATTAAGTCAAAGAGGTGGAAAAGGCATGCCAGGAAAGTACTAATCAAAAGAAGTCAGGACACTTTTATCAATATTCAGAGAGTGATCCTTAAACAAGTTACTCATTGGCACAGAGAGGCAACACACAATGATGATTACACACCACTTCAATATGTGTATTTGTAAGGCAGCAATCTACAGGATTTGTGGAGTAAATGGCAACTGAAGTGAAGTAGATCTCCAGTTGCAGGTGAATGCCCCAATATTAGCAGCAGTTTGATGGATGTTCAAGAGCCTTTGAAAATAAAAGGGCAGGCGCTCTAACTTACAGATGTAGGAGCTGAGTTTGCTTTCACAGCACATTTGGGAGACACCCTCATGGAAGGTTTTGGGGAACACTGAGGAGGACTGTTATTTTAGCTAAGAGTGTTGAGTGTGCTCAAAGTCTTTACTGGAACAGTAAAGCAAAAACAATAAAAAAGAAAGAAAAAGAAAAGAAAGAGAGAGAGAAAGGAAGAAAGAAAAGAAACAAAAAGGATGGAAATGAGAAGTTAGAAGTCCAAGTATAGCTTTTTGCAGGTGGTAGGACCCTTAAAAGAGCCTAGACGAGAAAGCTCCTAGTCTCAGACACACTTTCAGCAAAGTAGCGGGATACATACCTGACCTACATAAATTAGCAGCCTTTCCAGGTACTAACATAGAACTCATGAAGATAGAAATTAAGTGGAGAAAAACAAAACAAAAACCTCCAGGAAATGGAACCAACCTAAAGGGTCATCAATAGATGGTGAAAATATAAGGGAAAAAAATGTATTCTTGGCTGCAGCAGATGTAAATGCACAAATGGGGTTTTTGTTGCCATAAGGAGAAAACGAAAAAGAAATTTTCAAGAAAATAGTAAGAACATAAGATCTTGCTAAACAAAATAAACCAGGCTCAGAAATACTGAATGTTTCCCTCCATACACAAGAGTGAGAGAGAGAGAGAGAGAGAGAGAGAGAGAGAGAGGGGGGGGGGAAAGTAGAAAGTCGAGGGGCAACAGAGGCCTTCAGAGTGGGGGAGGGGAAGGAAGCTAATGGAATACATGTGACAGGTAAGCAGAAGAGGATCTCTTTGTGCACAGGAAGAGATATGTAAGAGGGAGAGAAGGTTGTAGGAAGGAAATGACAGAGAGGAGTAATTAGAAAAAAAATAAAAGGACATATGTTTATGAAAATGCCACAATGAAACCTATTAGTTGATATGCTAAATTTAAATTTTAATCAACAAGAAAACAAATAACAAAATTAATAACTAGGTATAGACCACCAAAGCCTAAGCAAAATCAATGAAACCAAAATTTAAAGTTTCATTCTGGGAGATACTGGTAAGAGAATAATTAAGCCGTAAACTGTAAGAAGATATTTGCAAACCACCTTCTTGAGACAGGACTTGAGTGAGCCCTTGAACATTTATAAAGTAAATAGTTCAGTTAGAATATGGGCAAAAAATGTGGAAATACGTCACTGAAGGAGATACTAGGTTGAGGGGAGCAATACAAGAGAATTCAGTGTCACTGGGCCCTTAGAAAGTGCAAATGACCCCACTGACATCACTACACATCTATTGGCACAGCTAGAATTTTAGCTGTAACACTTTAGTGAGGCTGAGGAGGCAGCTGTGTGCGTAAGAAAGCTTGCTGTGCCATCATGAGAACGAGTCTAAAATCATGGCATCTACATAAAAAGCTGGGCTCCCCACCCCACGCTGTCGTTACAGGCATAGAAGCCCTTCTTGGGATTCCAAGAGTTTGATAGCCAGCCAGCCTACCGAATAGAGCAACTTTAGAGGTCAGTGAGAAAGCCGTATCTCAAGTCATTAAGTCAAAGAGTAGTAGAGAAACTGGTTGCTTTTGCTTTGGCTTCCTAGTACGTGCACAGTCACATTCAGGAACCACACACACACAAACACACACACACACACACACACACACACACACACACACGTCGAGTTCCTGGGTCTGTGTTGTTGCATATTAAGACACAATGGAGTCAAGTGGAGTGAAGGATACAAGGAACTTCACTATCACTGTGCCTTCCTCTTGTGCAATTTATTTTTAATAGCTTTGGATAGATGTGGCTCATTTTATTTCTCATGAGGAGGAGACTGGATGAGAAATGGAAAACTCAAGCCTCCAGTTTCAATCTAACAAGACCAAGGGCTGAGAGGATCTGACAGCAGGTGGATGGCAGGGTCTGCCCAACCTCACCAGCCCTAGGCGGCTCTCCACACCTAAGGATGCAAAGCTGAGGACTACCTGCTGCCCAGCGCCAAGACACTGACTCTGCAGAGTCAGGGGCACCGGGCGTAGACACTCCCAGAACTTTTGTGAACTTAAAACCCTCCGTGGGTGAGATCGCCTGGCCCCGCCTCCTGCTCCCGCTGGCATGTTATGTCTGGGCGCCGCCTCACTCCTCTTGAGCTCTGCCTGGGCAGCTGAGACTTTGCCTTGGATCAGCCAGATCAGAAGGCCAGCAGCTTAGGCTCAGAATGCCGGCACTCAACATCACCGCGGAGCAGTTCTCCAGGCTGCTGAATGCGCACAACCTGACTCGGGAGCAATTCATTCATCGCTATGGGCTGAGGCCACTAGTCTACACTCCCGAGCTGCCTGTGTGCGCTAAACTGGCCTTTGCGCTGGCGGGAGCACTCATTTTTGCTCTGGCGCTCTTTGGCAACTCTCTGGTGATCTACGTGGTGACCCGCAGCAAGGCTATGCGCACTGTCACCAACATCTTCATCTGCTCCCTGGCACTCAGTGATCTTCTCATCGCCTTCTTCTGCATCCCGGTCACGATGCTCCAGAACATCTCCGACAAGTGGCTGGGTGGTAAGAGAGTGATTACACGTGTGCACGCGCGGACACACGGGGACACACACACACACACACACACACCACTACATTCACACTTTCTCTGTCAAATTGAATCCTGTGCCCTTCTTGGAAATGCCCTTGTAACCTTGTAGGAAAAGGTTGGGTTGAGGGATTGTCTATATGGTTCAGTCCAGACATCGGTTGAAGTGAGAGGAACAGTTCAGGGAACCTGTACCTTCACTTATTTCAACCATTTTTACATAGTTAGAGTCCCTCTATCCTTTTAGATAAAAAAATGAAAAAAAAATCACCTTTAAAAATTTCTTCACATTTGCAGCACAAAGGTATCCTGAACATATCCTTTGTAGAAATTGTACTAATAGAATCTTGTGGGAGGGCTGTAGAAAGCATAACCCCTGTTCACTTCTAACAGGAAGGTGAGACTCCCCTTCGTTAGAGGAGGGGGGGAAGCAACAAAGAACCTGTTGAGTGGGGCACTGATATTGGAACAGTATTGGGCACTGAACAAACAAGAAACTAGTTCTCATAGACACACAGGGCTGTCTGGATTTGGTCTGCATTCGTGTGCTGTGTTCTTCCCACTGCTGCGTGCACTGCCTCTACCCATTTTCATAAATAACTGCGTTCTTTCGCCTACATAAAATCCCTAGAGAGTGATTTTAAGTAAGAGAGATGGCTCATTGTGCCCCGACACTGCCATTTCCACCCTTGTGTTGTCTTTCTAATGCATGAGTGGTGTTTTTCACCCCTCCATTGCCACTGGAGATCTCCTACTTATTTCTTTGCCACTGCTGTTTGCCACTAATTTGTACTGTGTTTATTTCAGCAGGTGGGAATGATAAGTTGTCGGCTCTCATCCCATCTATCGTGTGTTTCTAAAACATCATTAACTGTTGAGCATGCAGGATTGACTTGACAGTGATGGTGTAGAAGGTTGTAAATTGGTCCACAGATCAGACACTTTCTCACCCTGTCTAGTGAAATTATTGTTTGGATAGTTAAGATTTACCACTAAAACTGGCTCCAACAAATTCCTGAGGGAATTCTTCTGGAGGAAGCATCTTAAGTTACTACTTCTAAGTGTTTGAACATAGATTTAGAAAGCAATTACACTCCACTTGAAAAGGAACATAAGCAATGTGGGATCGTTTAACAGCAGTCATCTAAAGACTAGATTGTCCCTTAGCTCTGATACATGCTAAATGGGCCTAGTAGGGCTCCAGTTTTTCAATAGAGTATTGAGGAGTAGAGAACTTTGAAAGCCGAGAGCAGATCATTAGCCCCCAGCCAGAGGAGGTGTGGGCCCCAGGGCGGGCTAGCACTTCTTCCATGTAGAGGACATAGGAAGGAACAACTATGGTTAACCTCATGCTTCTGTTTCCTTTGCTTCCGGCTTTATAGGAGACATTTCACTTCAGCTTCTAAATGCTGGAAAAGTGGTAATGGGTTGCATATTTGTGTGCTTTGGAAACGCTAGCTCTGTTAGGCATGGTTATATACCTGTAATCTAGCACTTGGTGGGAGCAGGCAGTAGTAGCAGCAAGTTTTTGGCAAGCCTGAGCTACATAGTGCTTTTGTATAGGAGAGCCTGAATCACAAAAATAAAACAGAGAGAGACACACACACAGGGAGGGAAAAAGAGAGGGGGGATGCTGCGAAAGTATATGGTTAATTCTATTAAGAACTGTTTAGTTGGAGGTTGCTTATATTTATACAACACAAGGTAAATAACAGTCTATAAGTTTAGTATACAACAGAAAAAAATTACAGTTCAGATGAGAAGGAAAAGCCTGAAGAAGACCCACAGACAGGTTGGGAGAGAATTAACTTGCATGCCATAGATAGGATAATAATTGCCAAGCTGCCATGATACATCATCAAAAGAGAGTTCAGAAGAATGGAAAAGATAAAAAATAATGCATAAGTTATTTGACAAATGTACTAAAAAATTCTCCCATATGACAAAGTATCACCTTGAGACAACAAAAGTAAATAAAAGCCTGCAGTCTATTTGGGGTCTCAGGGAATACAAGAGGCCCCACAGTAAGCAAAATTAAAATGGAATAGATGAAGATCCGCTCTACTGTTGAATCTCTCCCCAAGGAAGTGCTGTCTGAACAGAGAAGGGTGTCTGGGAGCACTTGTCACTCTGTAGTTTGGGGAGAGAAAACATGCTGTGTTTTAAGAAGGCTGTGTAAGGCATTTCAGGAAACGTAACAAATGGAGACTGATGGGAAGATACAGAAAGCAAACAGGGAAGGGGATGTGTTTGGAAAAGCCCAAAATATGAAGACCTGTCATAGGCGGTGGTAGGAAAAGCAAAGCATTTATGTGGGGCATACCAGAAGGGAATGATGGCAAAAAGTAGCTGCTTCCTGGAAGGGCAGGGTGGGTGCCTGGTATTGTCACATCCTCTTCTGTTGTAACTGTTACTTCTGTCCCCCCAGAGAGGGTGGCGATATGGATTTTATGACTTTGACCCGTAACTCAAATTAAAAAGCAAGATGATCATAAATAATTCACACTTCTAGTTAGTGAGTTGTCTAACAAGCCACTCTCCCAAGTATCCCAGACAGTAGTGGCTGAGCAACTGCTTTTTCTTTCCGTCCACTATGTCCCTTGATAGGGACCAGCAGTACCTACTGAGTCAGCACCTGCATTTTAACAAGATCCCCAGGTGATGAGTAATGCAAAATAAAGTTTGGTAAGCACTTATTCTCAGACCACCAACACAGAAAATCTCCCGGAGAACTCTTAGAAATTGCCCGGAGTCCAGTGACAGGGCTCTCTGGAAATAGGGGCCAGCTGGAGCTGCCAGGTAGAGCCCAGAGCCCTCTGTCCCATTCAAAGCCTGCTTTAGGGATGTTATGCTGCTGGCTTGAAATCAGTCCTGGGGGTGGGGTACACCGCAGAAATCAACAACTACAGTTGATGGCTGCAAAACAAACAGCTCAGTTTGACTTTCCAGAACAACACAGAACAGACATTGACTTTCTTTCTTTCTCTTCTTTTCTTCCTTCCTTTTTTTCTTTCTTTCTTTCTTTCTTTCTTTCTTTCTTTCTTTCTTTCTTTCTTTCTTTCTTTTCTGATGTCTTAGTTACTTTTCTATTGCTGTGATAAAACACAGAGACCAAGGCAACTTAAAAAAGAAAACATTTAATTTGGCTTTTGGTTTCAGAAGATTAAAGTCTCTGACTCTGGAATGAAGGACAGCTGGGAGTTCACTTGTTGAGACACAGGCAGAGAACACACTGGGAATCCCATCAGTCTCGTGAAACTCGAAAGCCCAGCCTCAGTAGTGCACCTCCTCCAACAGGACCATGCCTCCTAACCCCTCCCACACAGCTGCACCAGTGGAGCTCAAGCATTCAAATACATGAGCCTATGGGGCCATTTTCATTAAACCACCACACTCGCCTTCCTTCCTTTTATCAGCTTTCCTTTTCTTTAACATTTTACTTTTTATTCATTTCTAGCTAACACACAAAATAACAGGTTTCCGATGGGTGGTAGTGTCGCACACCTTTCATCCCAGCACTCGGGAAGCAGGGGCAGGTGGATCTCTGTGAGTTCAAGGCCAGTCTGGTCTACAAAGTGAGTTCCAGGACAGGCTCCAAAGCTACAATGAGAAACTCATTGGTCTTCAAAAACCAAACCAAATTAAATAAATAAACCGAAATAGCAGGTTTCATCTTGGCATTTTTTTACTCGGATTTTCTTTAACTCACCATTCTCTGTGAATTCTTCCAAAAGGAGGGGCAGGAGTGGAGAGGGGTTCTCTCTGTGAGCCGCATATATTTAGGGATTTTCTTTATATTGACACAAGTGTGGGGCTGTGTCACCCACAGCTTTCAGAAATGGAGCCTGGAAGCTCTGTGTCTGTCCCCCCTCTCATTTATTTGGCCAGTTGTCAGCCTTTCTTTCTCCCCCCTGCAGCCATCAAATTTACCTGTCCTTCATTTTACTGCTTTCTGCCTCTTCTTTTTATCCATTTATGCTGTCTGAAGGACTCCTCTGAATTCCCTGCCTATGCTGTTTCCAGATGTTTCAGAATAACTGATATTTTTTTTCTTGGACCAGCAATAAAGATCAATGTCCCCTTCTCAGTCTTTCTTTTCCTTCATGTTCCTTTGTACATCCTCTTCCTTCAGTGGTACTCAACTCCCTCTGGCTTTGCAAAGTCTTTCCTTTCGTTGCCCATTTCTGCAGAGACCATTGCCGGCGCTTTCAATGTCTACTTCTGCAGAGAGGCAATTGTAGGGACTTCCAATTTTAATCACAATATGAAGACAGTCTTTCACCTGACCTGAAGACTGCTCATCATAATGTAACATCTTTTCTTTTTCTATTATACCTCACGAGTTTCCATGTGGAAAAACTGATGAGAAATCTTAATACACACCGTTCTCTCATCATATCTTGCCTTTTTCCCAAGGCCCAAACGTTGACCAATGGTACTATCACAGTAAATCATGATTGTGTTAATAATTTCCTGGATAATTTCTCTGGGGTATTGAGATACCATGGGTATTAATAAAATTTTATCCTTGTGGAATGGCTAAATTTAGTTGGATCAAGAAGGGAAGGAAGTATTCAGCAAGAAGATGGAGAGTGCATGGGGGAATATGTAACTATAGGGGCTTCCAGAGCATACCAGGCAAGGATGAAGATCCTGAGTTTGGATGTTCAGAGCCTGATGGGTTTGAGGTGGGGTGGGGTGGGGGGTCTAAAGGAGTGGGGCTTGGATGACTAAAGTAAAAGGAAACAGGACATAGGATGATTAACTCTGAAGATCCAGAAGGAGGTAGAAAACCAGTTCTAACTCTATCCTCCTTTATGATTCTCTAAGTACAAAGTAAGATGGAAGTGTTTAAAGCAGTGGTTCTCAACCTTCCTAATGCTGTGACCCTTCAGTATAATTCTTCATGTTGTAGTGACCTTTAATGACCTTTAACCACAAAATTATATCCACTGCTACTTCATACCTGTAACTT